CATCATCATCATCATCATCATCATCATCATCATCATCAGTCCCTGGTCTTGATCGTCTTAATAGCCGATGCCATGCTAGATACAGCATCCTCACATGACCTGGAGGTCAGCCCATCCGAGCAACGCAAAGAGCTCCGGGATGCCCTCATGTAGCTCTCGGACCAGCTGGGTGGCTTCGCATTTGCGCTTTCTCCGCTGTCACCTGCCGTTTTATCGGCGCAAGTCGTCGCCCAAATATCGGAGTTCCACGGCTTTGAGAAAGACACTGACGGCTGGGTGGCGACCATCAACGCGACAGCAATGCACGAGGCCTGGACGGAGCCTCAAAAATGGTCCGTGGCTGTAGACCATCTTTGGGAAGGTGCAGCGACGTAGCGCCGGTATGAAGGCTTGAAGCAGCAGTAATGGGCAAAGTGGGGCCCCAAGCTTATAGCTGCTTTCGGTCTGATTTCCTGCGCTTCTTGCCTGTGCAACTCGACTTCCCCTGAGGATGGAGCCCAGGGGAAGCCCAATATCAAACCAAATAGCCTATAATTCCGTATTACTGCCAATACGAAGGATTCAACTTGGGCGACTACCACCCCGCCCTCCATTCGTGATTAAGGTCTAGGGCACCATCACGGAAGGGTAACTGTGCTTTCCACAGACATTTCAACTGCAGAGGGTCCGATGGTGCACCTGTGTCTGGTGGGTCCCTCACTGGCATGCTTTGCGAAACGCCCTGTGACAGGCCCCAACGAATGTCATCCAGTGGATTTAGAGTCGTCAGGCCATCCGGTAGACGCTGAGGCACCAGCCTCCATGTTACTGGACGTTCTAACACGTCATAAAACGCACGTGCCCGTGGATTTCACCATGCTCATCCGTTACCAGACGGAAGCCGATCTGCACGCTTTAAATTATTCGCTAACTGAACGTGAGGGCATTTCCACGTTGCGAAAAGACACGTCTCGAGAAGGCAACTAGGTCTCTGACACGTGTTCTGTCGTTTTCAGCAAAGACCTGTCTGCACAGTGCAAGTCTCGTACTCTTGCAACGGCTGCCGATGGGGCCGTCCCAGTTCCACGAAGCGCGGTTTCGCTAAGCGAGGGAGCTTGGCTCGTTGACGCAGTCACCAACTAGGAAAGCCAAATTACACACTACCCACTGCAAGACGCACAGACGACCGCGTCTGGTGCATCATGTACCGTTGGCGAATCTACCATTTCGTCCGCTTCCATTAAGAAAGACCAGCACTTGGGGGAAAAAAACGGCGACGATGCCGAAACAGTAGCAGCCAGTCGCCTGAACCTTGTCCGAGAACATTTCTTGCCAAGCCGCATCACGTCAAAGAAATCCAAATACGCCGAGAAAGCCTGCTCCGTCCACCCGAGGAAAATGGAACTGCTTTCTCTGAAAAGTCGCAGCGCAGCCGAGGTCGTACACTACCAAGACACAGTCAATGTCGTCTCCCGGAGTCGTCATGGACAAAGTTACCAACGAAGGCCCAGTCTCTAAACACGGCAAACGACCCAGGCGACAAAGCCAGTGTCGGCCTCCGGAACCAACTTGGACAAACTTACAACTGGAATTACAGCGTGGCCGAGTCCGGCCACTCTAGAACAGTCGGTGCTGCCTACCGGATACTTAGATCTTCACTTAGATCTCCTATCTACGTTGCCCAGGGGTTGCGGCCAACCACGACGATGCCACCAAGTCCGCCCACCAGAAACATTGCAGTCAGCTGCGCACGCGGCTCTAGCGCTCGAGGAGCTAGCTGGGAGAGGCAGAGGAAGAAGAGGCTCAGATTAGAACAGCCGGCCTAAAGGAAGAATGCCGTCTTTGTCTTGTCTATTCTTCTCAATGGATACGTACACATATACGGCAAGTGACGGCGACGCCGGCGGCAAAATACAGCCGAAAGTGTCCATATAATTGATCTCGCAATAAAATTAGATCCGAGACCTGGCGTAGCTCTGTGGTAAAATGTTTCATTGCCACGCAGAATGCTTGGGTTCTATTCCAACTGGGACCCTGACATTTATTCTTTCCATTCGTCGGGTCGACGCTACCGATGTCGGGTATTTCTTAACGCTCGCACTCTAAAATTGCCCATAAGTGGTCTCGTCGTTCCTGGGTAGATACTAAGTGTCAATAACCTGTGGCGCATACCAACGGCGCATACCTTCCCGTGGGTATGTGCCACTGTCTGGCGGGAAGTGTTTGACGACGTACGCGAAGGGATTGTGACGTTATTCATGTCTTGACCAGCGCGTCATATTTGCCAAACCAACGTTTCTTGGTTCACGCTATGTTTCTTGTTCACGCTAATCTTGGTTCACGCTATGTTAAGGGGGTGACCACGAGATCATCGAAACTTAAGCGGCTAGATAGATAGATAGACAGATAGATAGATAGATAGATAGATAGATAGATAGATAGATAGATAGATAGATAGATAGATAGATAGATAGATAGATAGATAGATAGATAGATAGATAGATACGCTGAAAGTCATCGAAATTCTCTAAGAAATGCTTCGCATTTAAAACCTGGCTGGATTGAAGCGACGGAACTAAAAGGCATATATCTTTGCGGTCATGGCTCGTCGACATAGGTGGAAAGGCCACTCGCCGCCACCTTAATCAGCTACGTCGTTCTGGTAATTTGCCAAGGGATGCTTCCTATCAAGAAGGCACCCCGTAGCGTCGTCCCACCTAACTTGGCATCTCGGAGCAGATGAATCGGTGCCGCCGCCGGCCGGCCCGGAACGCCCAGCAAGCGGAGGCTTCACCGAGCGTCCACGCACACACGGCGACTCCCAGACCACTTTCAAGCAACAATCTAAGGAGGGAGGAAAATAAAATACACTATCAGCGCATAAAAAAAAAAGACGGAACATCTAGGAAGTACACACGCAGCACTGAACTCACAATTGATGAATGGGGACCTTTTTGTAGGTATGTGTCAAAACTACAGAAAGATAACTTGAAGAAAAGCAGCGATGAAAATTACGTGAAAATGCTTGCCAAAGCTACAAGCAACCGAAGTTAACGTGAAGCACGGATTAAAACTGTTTAAATTGGATGTGCTGCAAGTATCTTCTTTCCTTATTTGGAATAATAAATGAGTTGTGAGTGCAGCGCTGTGTGTGTCCTCCCTAAATGTGTAATCTTTTTTTTTTTTGCGCTGGTGATTATATACTAATCATGAACCAATTCGCCCAAGCAGCAGTTTTAGGGAGGATATGTTCTGTCCCGACTCCCGAGCGAACCTTTTGACCGAGCGAGCTCGTGCACCGTACCTGCAGCCGTCCGGTTGGCTGCTTTCCCTCTTCCCCCGCTTGTTACAAACTAGCATGGAGCATTCCTTCCTTCCATGCAAGGGAGTCATCACTAGTTTTCTACGGAAGTTCGGGCTACCACCTCCCAGTAGTAATAAACGAGTTTCCACCCGTCCGAGACTGTCTATGCTTTTCAGACTATACACCGCCCCCCGCGCAGAAGTCTTTGGGCCAATGACAACCACAGAGATAACCGTTTGCCTGTATTTCTGTTGTTCATCTTTCTCACGATTCAGCCCCTTGCTCAACGCCCACCCACATTGATCTTGTGGCTCCATTAATACTTGTGAATTTGTCAATCAAAAAGCAAATATTACCCATATTTTAGGCGCAACATCAGTGCGAAAGTGTTGTTAGTGTGTTTCTTTGTTTAGAAAATGCATTGCTACGTCATTATAAAGACTTCAGTGCTTATTAAACTGCGCTGATAATGCGATGCTAAGAAAAAAAAAAACTAAGCGGTTGTTTCTTACGCTTTGCTAAACCTACTTGGTGCTACCACCTACCAGTGGCTCTCGGACGCGTTAATCAGACGCTTTAGTGGAAGGTCTCAGGTTTCGATCCTACTGGTGGCAAGTTATCTTTTCGTGCACTTTTCTTTCTGCACGAATACATCACAATTACTTACAATAACTACCCCATACTTGCACTGGCATTATTTTGTTGGTTAGTTCTCGGATACTACCAGTAACTCTGTGTTAAAAAAAAACTTTCGTATCTTCACATTACTGTCAGATAACGCCATTTCTTACGCAGCACAGACAGAAGACGTTCGTCATCGTTCGCAGAAGAGCACGTGCGCTACGCAGGCCAATTTTTTCCCCTTTAACTGCATCCCGACTGCGCAAGAAAGGTGAATGTCTACACAGTGGGAACAATTTCTGCTTGAAGCAAACCTCTGTCATGTGGACTATAGCGGACAGCTTTCACAGTCTCCTGGAAATGAGCTGGTAGGTCTCAATCTTTGTCTTGGCTGCACAGTGAGGACGATTTCTTGGCCCACCGGCGTAGCTTCGCGCCGCTAGGCTCGAGGGTGTGGGTTCGATTCCCGGCCGGATGATAGAGAACCGAGCACGTAGCACTGATCACTGCGCGAATCGGAATGGGTTCGTGATTACGAGACGTCGGAATGGAAGGACACGAAACACTTACGATGAAGAATATATTTTCTTCGTCAGTGAGTTGTGTACTTTTATTGCGACACTCCGCGTGCCTCATATATAGTCACGATAGTTGGGGCCCGTAGAAAGCGCAGTATTTTCTAATAGTTTATTCGAAAGTTCGACTTGCGAACCTCTCCGCGTATTAACAGAGGTGTGCAGTGCATATATCATTCAGTGTAAATTTATTAGCGGCACGAAAGAAGATTGCGTTGTCAGCACTGAAGCATAGCGAACGTGCCCGTTTTGGCGAGGTCCCATTTACGGGCTCAAGGCCGACCAAGACAGGCGCTTCCTTCCGATGCCGCTGCACGAAAAAAAGACGACAGGAAGAGTGTCACTTGACGAACGAACAATGGCGGTCTCGTTTCTCTTGTGGAATGCGCTGTCGTCTGCTCGTCCTTGTCGTCTGCACGTGTACGGAGCTGGCCCGCAGACATTGCATCCGGTTAACGGCACCCAAATGTGCCAGGTTGCTGCACCGTTTCTCTCGTTTCAGCACTTCTGCGTTGAGCGTGACGTGATCGTTTGTCTACCAGCGCCCGAGGCGTACGTTTTGCACCGACAGTGCACAAGAAGCACTGAATCTGCACTGCAAACAGTGGAGAAGAGGACGCTGCCACGTTGAAACACCCAGATGCTCACAGTGCGTTGGAAGAGAGTGTAACGCTCGTTATCAGCGGCAGACAACGTTGCCAAGGGTGAGGTTAGATAGCGCCCAACGCACGCTATCTTTCCCACCCTTTGCGAAACACACCGGCACAAGTCAGCCGTGAGGTGAAGTCAAGGAATATGGATTCGTACCTTGAAAGGTGGTCGTAAAAATGTTCCTCAGTCACCACAAACGGTGAGCTTTTTTTTTCTTCTCGTTTGCACTCATTGAATCTTCTAGATACCGATTGCGAGCACTGTGTCGGTTCAAACGACCGTTGCATCATCAGGAAGGGCGTCTTCACTCAGCGTCTCGCATGAAGTGCTCCAATGAGCGTCGACTGCTGGCTGAGCGTCGCAATAACTGAAGAGAGCTCCTTACTTTTGTGACATTAACGCACATCAATATAGCGCCACGCCAAGCGCATAACTAACAACCTTCGTACGACGATAGGTCATGCCTTTTGAAACAAAGTGCCAAGCGCGCATATCAACGCGGCAATCCAGAATAAGCGCCCAAATAAACTAAACATGGCAGCAATCGATATTATAAATGCAGTACAGTCGATTTCAGAACATGCCCAATGGCTGCAGCTTTTCTACAATGAAGTTTCATCGCAATAATAAACTGGGTAACTATTCAGAAAATTTACGTCAGGAAACTCGTCCCAGGCCGGTGTTACATTGTGGTGGCAGCGTTGCAGATCAAGCTTATACTTTATGCCCATGCGCAGAACATCTCTGACTTGGCCACAAAAGAACGCGGTGATTCTGAAAATAGCTTAAAAATGAATTGAGGCCATCTCCCGACAGGTCCTAAATATACTCTATAGCGTCGGCTGAACTAACCTCAGTTGATGTACTGTACATCTCAAGGGTGGAATGAAAGACCGACACCCAAGTGTCGGGTTTTGTTTTTTCCGAGTTGAAGGGAAGTATACCAAAGAACTTTTCGACGTGGGCATACATAGTGGCGGTGCTGAGGATCCATCCAGGCCGAAATGGGTTATAGAGGTCTGTATGTCTGCAGATGTGATTTAACAGACCTCAACCTCCCTTGCAAACCCAGCACTGTTCAGTTAACTTATTAGCCTGAAGAAAATCCCCTTCATGCACTAAAATTGCAATCAAGCTTGGAGAACTCGCTAAAGGATTCTGCATGTTGCCACACACTGTAAACGATGTAGATGCAAAGATGTTTGCTAAACACAACGGTGTTCTTCGGCCACAAGGGGTTATTACTGTAGTTGTAGAGGCTTTCTACATTCAAAGAAACTGTCACACGCCGGTCAGTAAGCCTTAGGTGAACATTCACACGAGTCAAATAGCATATCTCAATAAATGATTTCTCGCCGCTTATATATGACGATATGACAGTGCCCTTATGACAGGACACCGATTCTGAGTATATAGCCTTACGCTTTCAGCGTGTTTAGTATTTCTTTTTGTTTCGTAGTATTACCAGCGTCGCAACTTACCAGTTTATTTTAAGGTCTTCAGGGTGCGCTTGAGCGACTAAATAATTTGTTTTTTTATGAAAGTGATGAAATATAAGAGGTTGGTGCCATTATGGTGGCACCGGCTACTCATTTTCTCTTAGTAGACAAGATATGCTGTACGATCAACAATAGGGGCACGAAATGCTAGACTGTACAATATACGATGTGAAAGCATACGCAATAGCCAAACTTCACAGGTCAGTTCATATACAGCTAATAAGTTCATATGTTCTACACACAAGATAAGGTCACCTCGCATTACAGTTCACATTCGCCTAATAGATACATATGTACACAATTTCCCCATACAAGGTCAGCTCACTCTGAGACAGACGATTACGTATATGAAACACACTACCTAATTACTACATATTTCCTTTTGCATGAAGACGACATCGCATACGGTAGGTCAATATTTCCATAAAATATTTGATTCTTCAACAAACTTCTTGAAGGCAACAAGGGCTCTTTTCTGAAGACCTGCAGTTGGCCATGGACCTTGTATTTTCGTCACTGTGAAGGGCCTCCTATCTAAAAGTGGCCAACTTCCTCGTACTACTTTTCTTTGTGTTTTATATTTCGGCCACTTCAGAAGCAGATGACGTGCATTTTCGTCAGAAGGGCCACATGAGCACTTTATGTACTAGGCACACGTTTTATCCGGTGTAGGAAGTGTCGCGTAAATGCTGTACAAAGCTGTAGGTGGTGGACTAATGTTTCAAATCTTCTATTTTCTCGTTAACTCTGATGGGATGCTTAGTTTAATGTAAGGGTCCATTAAATATAAGTCTGAACTTTTAGATTTTTGTCGAACCATTTGTCTTTGGTGTTAATGGTGTCTTATCGACCAGTAAATAAATGTGCTTCCCTGAGAATAAACCTTACTTTGATATTAGTCCTGTCGTGGTGTCATTGCTTATTACGTTTTATTTTCAAGCCCAAATTTATTTATAACTGCCCATGATTTGATGCAACAACCGTCCCAGTCTGAACCTATGGATCGATGCTTGCAGCACGTTTTAGCATGACAGCATTCGCATCGTGTGCGAATTCACGTTACACAATATCACCTTTGTTCATTTAACTGTTATCCTGATAAACGACCAACTGATAGCTTAACAACATTGTTGACCTTACCAAAATACAAATAACGATATCATGCTATAATAAAATGAAATAATGTTATGTTGAAATTATATTACTTTGATCACTTACTTGACAATGCAATCGGCAAGCAACTCGTGACGGCATTTAACTGGGCTTGGCTGAATTCTTCCCTATTACTAACGAACACGCACATGAACACCATAGTACTGTCCTGTCCATTTTTCTTGTGTCTTTGTGCGTGTTCACTGTAGTGATATGAAAACATTCAATCGGCTAAAATTTCAAACTGGGGACCTGGCTTAACTTTACTAAAAACTTCGCGAACCTCCTTTTCTTACGCACGTGGTGGTCACGACATTCCGACACTAAGAAAACAATTTGCTTAGGTATGAGATTTTACTTTTTATATTTTTAGGGTCGCGTTGGACGTGAGTGTTAAACGTTACATGTTATACATGACGCGTACAATGACGCTGAAGACTGTAAACACTATTTCAGGTGATAAGAAACCCTTTTTAATGCAATGGATGTCCCGTCGTTAAATTAATACAGCTGACATGTAAGTACAAGTTCACGAGAACAACCGAGCACCACACGAATTTACTGTAGAAAACTAGATATTGTCACGTGATCTTGACGTTGATGAAGGCAGGTGCTGTCAGTGGGTTCAAAGCGAGGCTCTTTATTTAGGTGAACCTATGCTTGGAAGCCCCGCCGTGGTGGTCTAGTGGCTAAGGTACACGGCTGCTGACCGCAGGTCACGGGATGAAATCCCGGCTGCGGCGGCTGCATTTCCGATGGAGGCGGAAATGCTGTAGGCCCATATGCTAAGATTTGGGTGTACGTTAAAGAACCCCAGGCGGTCGAAATTTCCGGAGCCCTCCACTAAGGCGTCTCTCATAATCATACGGTGCTTTAGGATGTTAAACCCCACATACCGATCAAACTGTGCTTGAAAAAAAAAAACTCATACTATAGCAACTACAGGCTGTACACTGATAGCGGCGAACAGAGCGTCGGCCGTCGATAAACGTAGATAAAACTGATCTGTGGTGAGTTGGGTTGCCAGCTGCAACTCACTTCATTATCAACCTCACCTCCCGATAATTACTGATTGGGTACCGAAGCTCTGCCTCAATGCGCGAGTCTGGTTGTTTTGTCAAATCTACCTTAGCAAAGTACACAGCCGAGGCATGCATGTTACGGTGGCAATTACCAACACAGGTTTCCTGAAGTTATGAATGAAAACTGTAAAAATAAAGACACCTACAGCTACTAGGCAAGAATGTACTTAATATACTTCGAGAGATGGTAGTTCACGCAACAATAAGCTCTGCTTTATTATAATTTACACGTACTTTCATCTCATATCGTATTCATTTATTCATTTGATTTGCATACACAGAAAGCGTGAAGACACGGAAGAAATATTGAGGAAACATGCTGACAGCTGCCACCTATAGAGGCACATTGCCTGCCTGCTCCTTCGCGGAGGGGAGACATACGGAAAAGGAAAACACCAGAAAAAACGAGAGAAAAGAGAAAAAAAGCAAGGAGAACAAAAAGAAAGACGTGAAGACAAATAAATAGTACCATGGAAAGATGTATACATAAACGCGAGGCCTATTCGTTTTTTTAAAGAAAGTTAGCAAGGCTTGATGGGCCCCGGTCATGCCTAGAAGCACATCCTTCTGGGAGCAGGCAATCGTCAAGGGTCGTGCACCAATTAAGTCAATATTTCTTCGGGAGCAGTGCTCGCAACGCATCAAATGCAGGCCACTCTAAAAAATAGGTGTTAGAGTGTCTCACAGGAGCCACAAGACGAACCTGACGAAATGTCCACACGTCCTTGACGATATAATCGTGCGCGCGCTGATACAGAACCACCCCTTAGCTTATACAATAGGGCTCTGTCACAACGAGTTGGTCCACGAGTACGAGGAGGGAACTGGGCTTTCGACACGCTGATTGGGGTGCTGCTTTATAAGATGCCAACAGTTTATGAGACAAGCGTTCTCAAATCGGCACGGAGTTTCCTGATGGTACTCGTTGTGAGCACAAGTCAGAGCAAGATGACCAGCCTCTTCATTCCAAGAAATACCAACATGCAAAGGTATCCACTGGCAAATGGGAGACACCTCACGAGTAATAAGTTTTGGGGCAAATTTAACGGTGCTGTATAAATAATTGGTCCATCGGAGACAATCGGCCATGGGCAGCACGAGAGTCTGTAATTTTGATAACCTTCAATGCATATTTCATGCTCGTAGTTCATGTACATATTTCAGAGCAACATCAATTGCTGCAAGTTCCGAAATTGTTCATGAGGATAGATGAGATATACGAAACACCCGTCGGACGTTAGTGGAACGCCAAAAGAAAGCTACAATGCCACTTTGGCCGCAATTGCATACAGATGAGTCTGTAAAAACTTGAAGATAGTCGTGAATAATAATAGGTGTGACTTGGCCAATTTAAATGGCGGAAAACAGGCTGGGCAGACGTTTTGAGTATTCCAGGAATAGAAAGATAAATGGGGAACATGTCATTGTTGCGCTCTTTCGGAGTTCTGAAATAAGTAGAATCTTCT